CTCGCCACCCTCCCCTCCCCTCCCCCCCAAAAAGAGAACATGCGTGTAGAACCTCAAAAAGGTAACAATCTGGCAAGCAAGAATCCTCGTTGCTCGAGACACATAGGTTGTGATCCTTTGGCACAAAAAAAACACCAAATACCGAAAAGATGGCAGGTGGTGGATTCACTATCCACCGGATTCCCCCAGTATACACTGGCTCCCCTTGCAGGCCCATGTCCAAGTATTGGGGGTGTCGTTGACTGCCCAGGACCGGCCCCCCTCAAACAATGATTGGATCTCGACACCAGCCTTAGCTAAACTGTCTGACTGGCGTAATAAGCACACCTCCATCTTTGGTCGTGCGTTAGTCATCAACAATGTAGTGTTTGCTGCATTGTGGTATAAGTCGGTGCTTTGGCCCTTGAGCAGGACAGCCTTCCAGACCCTTAGGTCTAGGGTGGCAGCTTTCTTATCAAGAGGAGACAATGAACGAGCCAATGTCATCAGTAGAGTGGCGTGGGTGTCAGTCATACAACCACAAAGGGCTTCAAGTTAAGACTATTCTGACAAAAAGTGCTCTGATGGTTGCTCAGGCGGGTGATAAAAAATGGGACGGTGGACCCGGTTTCCAGCAGGTGCGGCTCCCCACCAATAGACTGAAGCATCTAGGATGACTGCTAGGGGGGGGTGCTCATATCACCCTCTCTAGCGGCGAGAGTGGTTAAAAAAAAAAAGTCTTCATTCTTCTTCACCCAAATAGGATGCCCGAACATTATGGTTGCATTTGTACTGAAAGTTGCCCCAAATACGGCTATAATGACAGGGCATTTAGCTTTGGTGAAGACGGCGTCAGTGAATAACTCCTTCGGCGGCGTCGGCTTCCTGATCCCTCTGTCGCGGCTCCATTTCCTTCAGACTCTCCGTGCGGCGGTTCCGGATTTAGCGATGGATCGCCCAACAGTAGCTGTGGTGGCGGCCTTTCAGGTTATTCGACCGACCGCTTGCCCTCCGCTTTCTCTCGTCTTCGCTGAGCTTCGGCCTCTTCCTCCTCTTTATTTCGCCTGAGATGGTCGCTCGACTTTCCCGATCCACTTCCTTCTCCCGTCGCTTCCTCTTCTTCCCCTGACTCGATGTAATCGGGGTCGTCTTGATCAGTGCTCGATTCTTCCTCCTCTTCCTCGTCCTCTTCTTCTTCTTCCTCATCACTAGCTCTTAGCGCGTTTCCTTGCCGGACAAAAGAGTCCCACAGTGTGAGATCAGTGACGTCGATTTCGAGATAGAGGCTCGGGGACGGGTAAAAGCAGTTATCCCCGTCCAACTCCGTACACGTGGACCACAGTAGATGCGGCACAAGCGTGCGAGTGAGCACGTCTGTCCTTGGCTTCTCGTCACACCTCGACGGGAGGTCGAGGGGTAAATCGTCCACCAACTGCGCTAAAAACACCAACAACTCGTCCATGATCGCGTCAAGATGGCCTTCTTCCACCTTGCCAAATAATATCCCCAGTAATTCTCCTTTCATATTCGTCCGCCAAGCCTGCACGATTAATAGTTCTACCTTGTCGTCCTAGACTTCACCCCCTTCAGCTTCTGGGGCCGGCTCCGCCCAGTGAAACACCACGTCCACTAAGCAAAAGCTGAGTTCTACGTAGGCGTCCCACCACCCGTTCCACTCGTCTTCGTCCAAGATCGGCACGCCGAGTTCCCGGATCCGGAAACAGAGGGCGGGATCGATAGCAGATTGCCAGAAGGTGGGGAGATCAGATGGAAGGTTTAAGAGGGATAGATGATGATGGTTCATTGGGGCTGCTCAAAGGGAAGGAGCTCCGGAAGAAGGATCTCCGGCGCGCTGCTGGAGGTGCGGAGTCGGAGATCTATGTCGTTTGTCGTCACGATCCTTTCCCCCGGCCAAGCCAGCAATTCGATCCACGTGGCCGTGATCTCCTCGGCCCAAACCCGTAGCTGCCGATAGATGTCCGCATGAATCACCGAGTGTACCACCGTGATCTCACCCGTAAAGGTGACGATGACGGATATGTGGCTAATGCTGGGCGAGGACAGGTTGGTGGTTATCCCCGCACGATACACAACCCCCACAAGACCCGTCAGTCAACTGGCGGCAAAAAGAGGAAGTAATCACAATCTTGGAGATCCGATTCACAGCTTTGGGCCCGCCATTGCCTTTGGACCATGGTCAGGCGCTGGTCCAGATTGCCCTGCAGAGACTTACTAAATGGGACGGCCTCCATACATCGCTAGTCGGGAGGGCACTCGCAATTAATAATGCAATCCTTGCAACCATGTGGTATAAAACTGCATTTTGGGAAATCCCTAAGACACAACTAATGCACATGAGGTCGGCCCTGTCAGCTTATCTCTGGAAAAACGACCACGACAACACGCGGTGTATCAAAAGAGTTGCGTGGAAATTTGTCACCCAACCAAAGCGAGTGGGAGGTCTTGGCATATTGGACCCAGGGGACGAAATTAAAGCCCTAATGTTCAAAATCATCACCGGCTTCCTGCTGACCAATGACCTCCCATGACTCTCTCTCGCTTATATACAATTGGCTAACCTTGCACCCCCCMCCCCCCCCCATCGCCCGATCCACCCCCTAAGCTGGCTGACAAACAAGGCATGGTCTCTACCTAGCCCCCCGAGACATAAAAGGTATGGCTCCTTTGAGTCCTTTTGAAACAGCGTCAGATGGGACCTTAAATATGACCCACTGTGGATCACAATGCTGGGCCTATGGAGGCAAATGGGGCCGACCCAAAAATCCCCCCCAAACAGGGCAGAAGAAATTTTGCGACAACCATTGTTTGGGAACCCGCACATATGCGACAATGTTGGGCAGCCCTTCGCCCTGTCCACTGACTCCCACTGGCTCAGATGGGTAAGAAGAGGCATATTCGCAATTGAGGATTTGTGGGACGGCCAAACAGGGATGTGGAAGACTGCACAGCAACTGCAGTCAACTCTAAAAGCGGTACGAAATATTCACGACAAACTTAAACAGCTTCGAGAGGCGATCCCGCCCTCGTGGGTGGCTGCCTTACGGGACGATCTGTCGTTGCGCAGCCTAGACTGGGTCACCCGGGCCAGCACGAACCCCATCCCCATGACCATTTTCAGGGTGATCCACGTTACACAGGCAGGCGTGACAACACATGCATACGAACCTGAGGTGCCGGGGTCGACGTGGACAGCTCTGAAAAGGGTTCCGGTCTTGGACTGCACAATTGTGGCGGATGAGCTCACCAGAATCAGAGTGGTGGGGACAGATGATACAGGATACTATGCCTACGAAATGTCCATCCCAGTATACGCGCTTCCCTTCAACCCGGAAGAATGGGAATGGGGGGGTCAAAACCCCACCCCCATCTGGCAATGCACAGCGAAAGAGGGATATAAACGGGCCCATGACCTGCTCCCATCCACACAGATAGTTCAACAGAGATGGGAGAGGGATTCCCCGGTGGGAGAGGAAAGATTGTGACATATTCCGTGGACAACCTACGCACACATTATGCCCACCTCCCATAGAGCCCTGCAATGGCAAGTAATGCACAACTGCCTCCCAACTCCGGATTGGGTGACCTCCAGATCTTGCCTGGACCAAACAGGCGTTCTGTCCCCTATCTGCTCCCAATGTGGGCCTGGTTCCGAAAGCCGTAGAGCCGACCTGGAACACTGTTTGCTCGCATGTCCGATGGCAATAAGGGTTTGGCAATGGTGGGACACAATGTGGCATGCCCTCACAGGCGCTGTGCTTCACTGGGATATTGCGCTCATCCTCCTGGGAAAAAGAAGAAATCCCCCTGCAGACTGGACCCCCTTTCAATGAAACCTGTTCGGACATATGCGGCTGGCAGTACTCATGGTAATATGGCGAATGAGATGCTCAGGGGAACGCGGAGATGCAGCCTTTGGCTATCACCAAGCTAAAGCGGAGCTGGTGGAGGTCATCCGGGCAAATTTGCTGAAAGCTAGCAGAAAATTAGTTGAAGTACTGTCCGCGTGCCCGAACAGAGAAAGCAAACAACAGGCCATAAAGGCCTTCCGGGAGCTCTGGATTGACCCCCATGGAAAGCTGGCAGATGTGCGCGATGACGGTTAGTGGACATGGAAAAACTGGACACCACAAGAGGACCAATGGTCCTTCCGGCCGCCCGACAGCTTTCCCATCCCTCTACCAGGCCCAATAAAAGGGGCAATGGTGTTGATGCCCTCAATAACAAGCTCAGCAACCCAGACCCCAGGGGCGTTTGCCCCCAATCACCCCTCCCCTCGCTGGGGATGCCCTCTCCCCCGTCGCAGCCTCCACCATCAACCCCCTCACCCCCCCTGCCCCCCGCCACCCCCCAAAATGCCAACGGACACCTCACCTG